TATGCACGCTCCACTTTTCCATTATTAATTTTTTAGAATTCTTTAAAAAAGTTATTTTTTTCATTTCACTTCACCAATTTGGACTATTTTGTGTATGTCCATTACATGAAATCCAAATAAAAATCAATTTAAATTACAGGTTGTAATGCAACAAAATAGGAAAAACGCCAAGGGGGATGAATACTTTTGCAAGGCACTGTATATAATAGGCTACTCACGGCCAATTCTACTCATCTAGCTAGTTTGAAGTCGCTATTTAACTGACAACAGTAGAGCAGCAACATGGTTGATCCTCGCAATCAGTGACATCCCGCAGCAGCCAAACATTGTAACATGAACATATGGAACGACGTGGATGAGGTTCGAACACAGCTAGCGAGGATTCGCAAAGAAAATATCAGAACACAGCACCATAGCGAGAAACCTCTACTTACACAGCAGCGTCGAGGTAGAACAAGAGCCAGCGCATAGTAGCAGTAGCAGCAGGATGAGAGCAGACCCATAAAGCTTAAATATCCACCCAATAAGGTAGGCATGATTGATACTAGCCTCTAATTGGTACCATCTCAGCTGATGCATTTTAAATTGAGCCTTTGGTTGCATAAGATGAAGCCATGGAGCTTTAACTCCCACTACCGCAAATAAGTCTGTATTTTAAGACTGTTCGTTCTCAACAACTTGCCTGTCAATACTCACTCCAAATAACCTCTACCTCAATCCATTATATTTTTCATAAACTGAGTCCTGTCAGTAGAGTGCAGAGTGTTACAGACTGCCCCCTATACCCCTGGACACAGGGGGAGACTAGAGGAGAGACGAGAAGAGACAGGCCCTGCCTCTGACATCTTGGACATGATCAAGCGGTCCTTTGATAAACGCTCACTGCTGACACGCATTGCCAAATGAATGAATGGCTTCATCAATAAGTGCATCGATGATGTCGTCCCCACAGTGACCGTACGTACATACCCCAACCAGAAGCCATGGATTACAGGAAACATCCGCACTGAGCTAAAGGGTAGAGCTGCCGCTTTCAAGGAACGGGACTCTAACCCGGACGCTTATAAGAAATCCCGCTATGCCCTCCGACGAACCATCAAACAGGCAAAGAGTCAATACAGGAATACGATTGAATCGTACTCCACTGGCTCTGACGCTCGCCGGATGTGGCAGGGCTTGAAAACTATTACAGACTACAAAGGGAAGCACAGCCGCGAGCTGCCCAGTGACACAAGCCTACCAGACGAGCTAAACCACTTCTATGCTCGCTTCGAGGCAAGCAAAACTGAAGCATGCACGAGACCACCAGCTGTTCCGGATGACTATGTGATCACGCTCTCCGTAGCCGATGTGAGTAAGTTTTTTAAGCAGGTCAACATTCACAAGGCCGCAGGGCCAGACGGATTACCAGGACGTGTACTCCGAGCATGTGCTGACCAACTGGCAAGTGTCTTCACTCACATTTTCAACATGTCCCTGACTGAGTCTGTAATACCAACATGTTTCAAGCAGACCACCATAGTCCCCGTGCCCAAGGACTCTAAGATAACCTGCCTAAATGACTACCGACCCGTAGCACTGACGTCTGTAGCCATGAAGTGCTTTGAAAGGCTGGTCATGGCTCACATCAACAGCATTATCCCAGAAACCCTAGACCCACTCCAATTTGCATACCGCCCCAACAGATCCACAGATGATGCAATCTCTATTGCACTCCACACTGCCCTTTCCCACCTGGACAAGAGGAACACCTATGTGAGAATGCTATTCATTGACTACAGCTCATCATTCAACACCATAGTGCCCTCTAAGCTCATCACTAAGCTAAGGATCCTGGGACTAAACACCTCCCTCTGCAACTGGATCCTGGACTTCCTGACGGGCCGCCCCCAGGTGGTAAGGGTAGGTAACAACACATCTGCCACACTGATCCTCAACACGGGGGCCCCTCAGGGGTGCGTGCTCAGTCCCCTCCTGTACTCTCTGTTCACCCATGACTGCATGGCCAGGCACGACTCCAACACCATCATTAAGTTTGCCGACGACACAACAGTGGTAGGCCTGATCACCGCAACGATGAGACAGCCTATAGGGAGGAGGTCAGAGACCTGGCCGTGTGGTGCCAGGACAACAACCTCTCCCTCAACATGACCAAGACAAAGGAGATGATTGTGGACTACAGGAAAAAAAAGAGGACTGAGCACGTCCCCATTCTCATCGACGGGGCTGTAGTGGAACAGGTTGAGAGCTTCAAGTTCATTGGTGTCCACATCACCAACGAAATGTCATGGTCCAAACACACCAAGACAGTCGTGAAGAGGGCACGACAAAGCCTATTCCCCCTCAGGAGACTGAAAAGATTTGGCATGGGTCCTCAGATCCTCAAAAAATTCTACAGCTGCACCATCGAGAGCGTCCTGACTGGTTGCATCACCGCCTGGTATGGCAACTGCTTGGCCTCCGACCGCAAGGCACTACAGAGGGTAGTGCGTACGGCCCAGTACATCACTGGGGCCAAGCTTCCTGCCATCCAGGACCTCTATACCAGGCGGTGTCAGAGGAAGGCCCTCAAAATTGTCAAAGACTCCAGCCACTCTAGTCATAGACTGTTATCTCTGCTACCGCACGGCAAGCGGTACCGGAGTGCCAAGTCTAGGTCCAAAAGACTTCTCAACAGCTTCTACCCTCAAGCCATAAGACTCCTGAACAGCTAATCATGGCTACCCGGACTATTTGCACTGCCCCCCCACCCCATCCTTTTTATGCTGCTGCTACTCTGTTAATTATTTATGCATAGTCACTTTAACTCTACCTACATGTACATATTACTTCAACTACCTCAACTAGCCGGTGCCCCCGCACATTGACTCTGCACCGGTACCCCCCTGTATATATAGCCTCCCTACTGTTATTTTATTTTACTTCTGCTCTTTTTTTTCTCAACACTTTTTTTGTAAAAAATAAATGCACTGTTGGTTAAGGGCTGTAAGTAAGCATTTCACTGTAATGTCTGCACCTGTTGTATTCGGCGCATGTGACCAATACAATTTGATTTGATTTGATGGTGTTGCCTCGTGTAATTCAGGGGACATTTTTACATTAAATCCCTCCTAACTGGCTGTTAAGCCCTGACAAGTGTAATTTAACACAGCGCTAATAACCTGCCATTACTCGGTGATGGGGCACATTGTTGGAACTACGAGCTCACCCCATAAATGATCCCCAGGGTGATGCTGGGAGAGTTATGAGCAAACACTTCAAAAGTGGAAAGACCGTCTCATATTTATTAACTACGTCGAGCCCCGCTCATAAACCCCTAGTTATGGAAGGGACAAGACCTGTCTTTGCAGCCATGAAATGTTGATGCTTTATGGTGCGTCTGCAGACGGCCACATAACTCTCCTCCCCAGCTGATTTGTGTCCTTTATTGAAACATGGAAGCCTCCAGAAACCTGTACTACACTGTCATGACTGTGACACAACTGCAGTGCAGGGAACGTAAAGCACAGGATCATTTGGGATGTACCCACTACTACGCGCTCACCCCATAAATGATCCCCAGGGTGATGCTGGGGGAGTGATGAGCAATTACTTCAAAAGTGGAAAGACCTTCTCATATTTATTAACTACGTCGAGCCCTGCTCATAAACCCCTAGTTATGGGAAATTACAGGGTATGATATTAAACGTCAGAGGGAAATTGAGATTTGAGGGTCCCTTTTGTGGGAGAGAGTGATTAGTGTCAGGAATTAGCACAAGCTATAAACCTAAGGTACAACTCTCCTAATAACCCATTGTTAACAGCCATGGAAATTACATGTTCTGCATTGAAAAGAGATATGTGGACTCATTGGTGGTCTTGAACGCCATTCACTAATCCTTTTCAGGATTCAGACCCGTTCAAATAATTTGCTGATCTCACGTCTGGATAGGTGTACTCCCGAGTGGCGCAGTGGTCTAAGGCAGAGATCCTGGTTCGAATTGTGACCGGGAGACCCATGGGGCGGCGCACAATTGGTCCAGGGTAGGGGAGGGAATGGCCGGCAGGGATGTAGCTGAGTTGGTAGAGCATGGCGTTTGCAATGCCAGGGTTGTGGGTTTGATTCCCAAAGGGGGCCAGTATGAAAAAAAAAAAAATGATGCACTCACTAACTGTAAGTCGCTCTGGATAAGAGTGTAAAATGTAAAATGTGTACGCTAAGTAGTGGGATATCTTACTTTGCCTATGTAATCATGTCAGCAATCAATATACTAAGGAATGAGGGAAGGATGTGTATTGGAAGTATTCAAACAGGGTTCTGAATAGGGCTCAAGTGAACTCCTCCAACCAGATGTGCTTAGAGCTTCTCCTCGGAACCTGAGAAAGCGTTAAAACATCCCAATAAAACCCTTTATTTTTAACCATGAGGGCGGACAATGCAGGAAAGTTCTCTTCAGCTTAAGGAGATGAATGGGGGAAAGCGGCGAGAGAGAGTCGGTGCTCCGGTATTTGCCATTGAGAAAAAGGTGTGTGTGAATGCCTTTAGATTAGCTAAAAGGTTGTTTGCACAGACTATTTCAGATGTAAGGAGTGTATTTTCATGACTCTTGCCTGGGTGTTTGCTAGCAAAACATACACAAATATAATCTAGCTAGTGTAACAAATTGAACTTGGGAAAGCACTTCTAAATGCTTCTAAAGTTTGATATTTCCACTTCAATATGTCAGACCTGATTTGCCCAAACGAAAGATGTATCAACCCCTACAAAAGATTTCCATTAATTATAATCCACACAATAATTCACATTTCCTGCAGGATTATTTTCCTGTTGTGAGAAACTGTCAAATTAAGATATGGCATCTGTAGGACAAGTCTTCAGGTTTCAGGCAAGGTTATTTGAACTACTTTTGTACACTTTCTAGTGGGTAGCACGTGTCAAGTGGGGACATGAGTAGCATGGACTGTGGTGGTTTTGGGGTGATTAGGTCAAAGCTTCGCAAAAGGTGTATTCAGGTGGGAACATGCGCAACCCATTAACACACGAAGTCAAGGGTAAGACGAAGGAGAAAGTGAGTGTGCCATCTTGCCACCACCACACTTATCAGACATGACTCTAGAGAGCTAACTATCTGCTGGTTGTTTTAACAGATTTACCTCAGGGCACTGCAGCACATGTGGAAATATGGGCGACACTTTACCTGGGTAGGCACTTATGTCAGTCATAACACTAATTTGTAACCTGCTAGTGTGAAACAAATGTGAGATTTGACCTCTGGATATGGCTACATGTTCAAACATGAATCGGATGTAGTTGCAGTATGTCGTGTCTCTTTTTAGCTTCATTGTTATTTTTGCAATTGCACAAAGCCTGTGTCTGAAATGACACCTTACTACAAAAGCAGTGCCCTGCTGTTTCCCCAGAGCTCTATGTGATAGTTAACCAGAGGTGTAGTGAACTATGGGGAAATAGGGTGTCCCCTTGATGTACGGTATGCCTTGAGACCAAAATGGAACATACCCGATACTTAAAATAAGTATTTTCAAGCATTATTTTATAGAAATTACAAGGGGGATACATGTGAGGAGGAGCTAAAGTTAGAAGGGTAGACTCTGGTATCAAACCCCAGCTTCCAGCGGTCATTTGTACATGTATTGAGAGCAGGAACCATTACCACTCTGCCATGACTCTGCCACAGACCTGATTCTTAACCTGTATTTCTTTCTTTGCAGGAACTCTTTACGGTGGAATGCAAGTTCAAAGAGTCTGTGTTTGAGAACTACTATGTGATCTACTCGTCGATGCTGTACAGGCAACAGGAGTCAGGGAGGGCTTGGTTCCTGGGACTCAACAAAGAGGGCCAAGTCATGAAGGGGAATCGAGTGAAGAAAACAAAACCAGCTGCTCACTTCCTGCCCAAGCCATTAGAAGGTAAGCAATCGCCACATTCTGAGTCCGATTTGTGTTCATTAGAACAGAATCGTTTCAACGGCATTAAAGTAGCATAGAGTATAGGCATTAGAAAATTAGGATCTTAATCTGCTAGACTTCTTTCAAGGTTAACCTTCGCAAAACAATTCCGTACCGTCTACTGTATATGGGAAGGCTTTCTTCCTGGCTGATAGCGACACTAAAGCAAATGAACCCTTTTCTGTATATGGTTCACATTGCTACTGACTGCTGGTACCATGTTCATGCAGCAGGTAGGAAATACCCTTCCACCCACAGATTTTACACCCATGTCAGAAGTGTCAAACTTATTAAATGTAAAGGTCACCTCTGAGGCAGGGTATATGTATAGATCACCAGAACCGTACACAAGTCAAAAACATGTAAGCCAGCACACCCCTGCAGGTTCACAAGACCACATTTCAACCGCCACCCCTCAGAATGACCATTCCACACCTAGACCCTGTCACAGCAGCATCTATCCGATCACGCCCCTGTTACTGTTTATCGCACCATAAATCCCACCTCGCGTAACCACCCATCGCTACATTGAAGGATGGTTATTGTAACTGAATGAAGGTGAGGGTTATGGTGATGCTTATCTACTGTGGGACTATGATTAGAGCGCAGGCGGAGGCAGAGGTGTGAGTCTTTAAATATTTTTCAGGTAATGGAGATGATACATGGCATGGAATGATTGACAGACAGTTGACATGAAATGTCTTGAAATCAGATGGACTAGCCAGTGGGTCTGTAGAGCGTCACAGGCAATAAAAGCAAACATGCATAATTAATTGGCTGTTAATTAGCATATCAGATGAGTACCAATAGCAATATTCAAATATGATAAGCATATGAATGGGTATAGCAGCAGGGAACGAATGGCAGAAGGAGCTGCGATAGCATGCGGCATGGTAGGCCAAAGCTAGAGCAGGCTACATGAAGTGGCTACGTAGCATGGCATGTGGCAACAAACAATATAAAGTTAACAAGGTAGCAAGCATAGCCATAAAGCAGGCCTAATTAACATAAAGCAGCTGCACAAAAGGTTCAAATGACAATAAACATAAGTCAGTTACCAACTACATGTAACAAAGAAAAACAGATAAATTACTAAATGGCTACTTGGCTTGGCCATTAGCGTCCGACATCCCACACAAACAAAACAGAGGTAAGGAAGTATTTTTCTTATTCGTCTTCTATGCAATAAAATATGTTGGTACTCACATTCAATGACATACTGGTGGTGGTGGTGGTGGTGGTGGTGGTTGTTGTTGTTGTTGTTGTTGTTGTTGTTGTTGGCATCCTCAACTCTGTCTGAAGGACCCAGATTGAAATGAGGCACCCTCCTGTTTAAATCCCTGACCATAGAGGTGGACTAGAGGGCAATCACCAATCAGGGAATTCTGTACAGTTATCTTCCCCTTACCATGCAATTTGTATTTATCAGCCCCATCCATAATTTATAGACTGGCGTATAGCACAAAGGGGAAGGGACAAGACCTGTCTTTGCGGCCATGAAATGCTGATGCTTTATGGTGCGTCTGCAGACGCCCACATCACTCTCCGCCCCTCCCCAGCTGATTTGTGTCATTTATTTAAACATGGAAGCCTCCAGAAACCTGTACTACACTGTCATGACTGTGACACAACTGCAGTGCAGGGAGCGTAAAGCACAGGATAATTTGGGATGTTCCCACTGCACAAAGGCTTTGGTCACATTCAGATTGGGGTCCGTATAAAGGAGAGGAAGAGATGGCAGCATCCACAGGCTAAAGAATGTCTTACCCGACTTTTTTTGGAACGTTTTTGGTCTCTTTTCTCCACTTTGGGTGCAGTCTGGAACGATTTCCAAAATAAATCGAAGCCTCTGCGTCAATGAGACTTATAAATGATTAAATCATTCATGCTAGTATTCTTTAGTGAAAGAGGAGTCATTTAGTTTTAGAATTATTTATTTGAAGAAAGGAGAAAGAGAACCTATTTTACTCTGGGTTTTACTAACAACATGTTCCCTCTCTCCTCCATTCTCTCCCTCTCTTCTATTCTCTCCCTCTCCTCCATTCTCTCCCTCTCTTCTATTCTCTCCCTCTCTTCTATTCTCTATCTTTCTCTTTCTATCCTCCCTCTCTTCCTTTCTCCCATTTTCTCCCTCTCACCCCTCCTTGTCTCCCCATCTCCTCACTTCCCTTTCTTGCTCTCTCCCCCATAGTTGCTATGTACAGAGAGCCATCGTTGCATGACGTAGGAGAGACCAAAGCTCCCAAAGGCACCGTCCCTCCCAGTAAAAGCACAACCGAGCCCCCAGTGATGAATGGAGGCAAACCAGCCAGCAAGCCTGCTACTACTACTACTACTACTACTACTACTACTACTACAACTGCTAGGCCCCACACATAGCCACACCTCACCTTATGTGTGTGTGCAGGGAGGTGTGTGCGTGTGGAGGGGGGGGGGGGGGGGGGGGGACACGATGGAGGCAGGGATTCTCCCTACTGGACTCCAAACTTGCACCGTCTTTCTTCTGTGGATCAGATCCAGGCAATCCCTCGTTCCTTCCTTTCTTCTCCTCCTCATCTTCACTCTCTCTCTTTAACTCATCAATGGTGGATCAATCCAGAAAGGTGTTCGTCGACCCTCCCCCCTCCTAAAAAGGAAGGAAGAGTGACCCTGACCATGGAATGCGCCTTTAGAATCCTCTCAGTAACTGTGAGAATCCATGAGAATGATGTGTGTTTCACGGCCACATGTGGTACCTTGCTTGCTGACGGTAACCCAAGACCACCCCCTCTACTTATATGCCCTGTTGCAGCAGAGTCTATTTCCTATACCACAGTCCACCAGTTATGGTCTGGGCTAAATGCTGTACAAATATAGTAAAAAGAAATGTGGACTGTTATCCTCTATTTTTTACAAGTATGTTCTCGTCTCTTTCTCTTTCTTTCTCTATTATCACACTTTTCTCTTTGTCTAATAAGTTACGTTTTGCAGGGGCAGTGTGTGGTTTTGTAATACACACAGACACATAGACACTGAAATACACTCTTCCACCAATACACACACACACACACACACATGCACAAAATAAGATGCCACCGGTGGCTTGGTTCCAGGGACTTATTTAGGAAGACACACAGATACACACACTCTCACACAACGTCTACATCAAGGGGAGAGTCAGAATCTCAGGCTGCTTGTTTTTTTTTTACGGCTTGATAAAGAAACACTGGAGCCTGGTGGAGAGCTCCCGCAATCATAGCTGATGAAGTGCTAATTACCCCCACTGCAATCAATGCGAGGATCCCACAAACACACATAGACACACAAATGCTTGTGTGTGTGGGAGAGCGCTTTAACAAGTGGTGCATACATATCACTATCCGATCCCACCAGCGGTTAGCTCTGCCTCGTCCGGTAGGTAACTAGGAAACTGAAATCTATTTTATTTCGGAGCGTGGACTCTAGGAATATCAATAGGCCTTGTAGGCCTCTGTCCCTCATTCGGTGACTTCTCTGAGCAACGGGCTAGGTTGTGGCTCAGAACAAATGTTTCAAGGCCAACAGCGGCAGCAATTTTACAAGCAGCCACTTTACATACAACTCTACTCGAGGTTTGGAGTGGAAAGCGGCTGAACGCGAGTAGGTGCCACTGATCGGCTGCATCCCCATTTTGTTCAGCAAACTAAAAAAGGTTAGTATTGTGTTCTCTTTTTACTTGCAGCAGCAATGCAAGAGATGGCTTATGACTTTTTCACGGTATACAAAAAAAAACTTTTTAAACTACTTAATATCTTGAGATATTACCAGAGGATTTTCTCCTAGCTCAGCATGAAGAGTCCAGTATCGCTCAACTTGGCCTATCACGTGCCTGTTTAGACCTCAATCCCTGGCATGCAAAAACATATATCCAGTCACGACTGGGCCTAAGGTGCCTCACCCACCAAACACATCCAATAGAGACCTAGTAGCAATATTCACTCAACATCCTTTACAGACCACAGAGATTGATTCATAAAATTACCAAAGTATCCAAGAAGCCAGAACATCTTACGATACCACAGTTGTTACTGTGTAGATCAATGGCAACAGCAGCCGACGGCAGTCGGATTCTGACTAGATTTTCCTGTTTTGTGTTTTTTTTCACTGTGATTTACCATATGGTTAATTTTCACTAAAATAATCCCATTGATGAATAGATTCTCTGTTGGTTTTCTCGATGAACCTCTGAAATCTCGTGTTCATATGAATCGAGGTTTCGGCATGCCTAGAACCATTTACATGCATGTTTTTCCACAAGGGACTATGGGATAATGGAAAGGTACTGTTCAGACCTATGTATGTGAGTGTGGAGTTGTTTGGAAATTGTTTGGGACTCGAATTAGCATGTTGTTAGGCACACTCCTACTTCCACTGGAGCTAGAGTACTTCACTGCACTTTCTGTTCAGTCCTGATCTGATCATGACAGTTAGCAATTTATCAACCATTATCTAAATCTATCAGCGGATTTACTACCAAACTTGTCTTGATTTAACGATTTTCATAATAGTTTTGATAGATACGATTTAGAATGTTGATAAGTAGACTGAAGCTACTGTATGCTGCTAAAATTGCAAATATATTAAGAGATTAATTTGACTATATATTATTTTCCAGAGTTTATTGGGATTTTGAGCTACTAGTTTCTAGGGGATGTTGAAACACATTGTTAGTTAGATTTAAAAACACTTGTCTGTACAAAGCTACATGAATGCTATTATAACAATGTCTTACTATAAAACAAAGGAGCTGAAATAATTTTAATTGACTTTAGGGCTGGTGTCCCTCTTCCACATGAGACCCAGGCTGCATCCCAAATGGCACCTTATTTTTTACATTGTCCACTACTTTTGACAAGTGCCCTATGGGCCCTGGTCAAAAGTAGTGCACTAAATAGGGAATAGGGTGCTATTTGGGATGTAGCTCCAGTCATTTCCCCACATCATAATTAACTATACATGGTAGGCTACCCAAGCCCTTGCAGACCAGTTGACTGGTTCTTCGAAGGCGGAACTTTATTTTTGTAAATGACTGACGTGTGTAAAAGTGCATCTGTTTTATCGCTCTAGACGCCATCTTGTTTGTGTGTTTGTTTTGTTCCTACTGTATACGGGTTGTGTGTGATGTCGTTTTCCTGATCCTTCCGAAACAGTTGTCATTAAAAAAAAGAAAATCAATTTTCTCTCTCTCTCTCTCTCTCTCTCTCTCTCTGTCAACACATTTGTCGAAATCTAGTTGGAGGGGATCTTTGTTACATGTGCTTTAGTTTAGTTTTTCAACCACATAGTTTGCCCGTTGTCTCATCTGTTGCATGGGGAGAGGATGGCATTGATGAACTGCATGTAGTAGTCTATGTGTATCAAGAACTGTTGGTATGTACTGCAAATTCTACATACATAAATTATATGCAACGAGTTTGTCTGCACACATTTACAACATATTGAATAAAATATTTATATAAAGGTGTGACTGTAATGTCAGTAACATTAATGCAATATACTGTGCAGTATATTATTGCACCTATCATTTTGATGGGATAAATAAAACGAGAGGTTGGCTAGTACTAAAAAGCATGAAAAAGCCAAAGTAGAATTATTTACATTAAATGTTTCTGTACTACTTCCAATCAATCGTGTTTTCAGGTAGAGGTTGGATTCTCGCGTAAAGGCAACTCACGTCCCCTGAAACCACCTTCTGAAGTGACATGAATACCATGCCACTATAGAGTTATGTGTGGTTTCTTCTTCTTTTTTTTCTTGACCACGACATTTGAAAAATTGGAATTCACAAGGGAGGGGGAGTTACCATGCATTGACTTGTGGTAGAAGATTATGATGGTTGTGATTGTTTACAGCAATGGAAAGGAATAGGCATTATTACAATTATTCATATAAAAATATATACCATTGCAGGTATGCCCCTTGGAGACATGTTATATGTCGTGTTATAACACATTTATACCCACATATTATTATGGTATTTACATTGTTTTCCATGCAAAAGTATTGTGTCATGTGGTACATTCAATGTTTTATTATTAAAAAATAAATAAAATGCTCAAATGATACTCCTGACTTGAGTGCAGGCTGTTCTTTGAGTCCAATTTGTGATTAAGCACTTTCAACCCCAAAAACACACCACTGGTGAAAATACCCCAAGCGGAAATTATCATCAGCACACACACATTATCATCATCCCCTCACACAGACTATGGATTAAAACGATTATATTAATAATAAAACATTTATCCTTTCTTTTCAATGTTTGCATTATGTGTATGTACCTGCATCTATCTTATTAAGTGTAGCTTTCTGGAAAATGTAAGCATTCCTATATAAACAATGTTCATACATATAGTTGTATTGGAAACATATAAAGGGTTACATGGGTTACATGGGAATGTCTTCTAAAGATAAAGACTGCTTTTTGCTTACACAGTTGTTGTTTTCTTGCGTACAAAAAAACGTAGTTTTGTAACCAGTTCAATGAATGCTGTTATACAAGTGATATGCAGAAATCTGAATGAAGAATTGCATCCCAGTTTGGTTGGTTACTCTTTGCTCCTCCTCTCCATCACTCTCTGCCTTTCTTTCCCCCCTTTGGGGTTTCACAGCAGCCTTCCCTGCTCTGTCCTTTTCTGACAGAACAGTCTCTTTGTGTAGCTACTGAAATGTTCTGTGATGTTAGTATTCAGTTCCCATCCTGATCTCACAGGCATTCCCCATCCAGCCATCCCAGCAGTCACAGTTGCCGCGGTTGCACATCGCATTCCTTGCGATGAGAGGTGAGAGGAGAAACTGTGACGCGACAAAGCTGCCGGACACATTATGCCTGCCTGACATTTCTTATCCAGGTTTCACTCTTCACACCTTGGTTCCCCTGACGTAGCTCCGTGGTGGGGACTGAAGCCAGAGAGGTGCTTCACACCCTGATCTCTTAGGTTGCTATGGGGATGCTATAGAGTGGGATTACATTCTCAATGTGAATTCTTAAGTCATTACATAAGGCTCAGTCTGAGTTGAAGACAAAAGTAATGAGGTAAAAGACAATGTGTGTGTGGTATGAAATATTGAGACACCCTCACAGATCATCAACACAGTGAAATGGTCGTAGAAAATCAATATATTTCTGGGCTTAGCATTGGGGCCTACCCCGGCTTTAGTTTAGTGAGTTTCCCTGTGTTGACGAGAGAACCCAGTGTAATTTTAGACCTAGTATGATCATGCAGTGAGTGATTTCACTGGGCAGGGTAGAGCAGGGCAGGACTAACCAAATCTGGGGACCTGGGCAAGACCATTTTAGTGGGCCCCCTGTTCGTGGCAGGGAGAAAATGTTGCAGTTTTAAAACTAATTTCCTGCATTT